TTACAACATTGATGTGATTTATGAGCTTTGAAAACATCAAAAGAATTAGCTATAAACATATCAGTAAGCAATTAAATAGTTCATGACAGCTCTGCAATTCCGTCAACTAGCAAAATTATCTGAATGAGTAAGCTCTCTCTGTCCCATGTGGACAAGCGACAAGTAACACTTCATCTGCGTCTTAGCGCCTCGAGGCAGCGGCGGGGAGGCGGTCGTCGCTCTCGTATTTACGTTTCCGTTCAGTAGTCAGAATTGAAATGCAAATTACGGGATCCAACGTGCACGTTTTGTTGCATGAGTAGAGGGGTTGTACCGAAATTGCCGTTGATAGATAGATAGAGAGAGTTGAATTCAAAACGTTGTATTGCAAAAAACCGCGAAATGGCCGATGCTTTCTTCGGGCTTTTGAAGTGCTGTTATTGCATTTTTTTCGCTGCTGAATGGTACTCCCTATATTCGCAATGCGCTTTTTCGCGCGTTTCTACTGATAGGCTTCAAAAATTCTATCTCTCTTTCACGCTCTCTCTCTCTCTCTCTCTGTCTCTCTCTCTCTGTGCCTTTGTGCTTCTAGTAATAAATGGACGGGTTATGATAACTTTTATACGAACGCATTCGATATCAAAAAGCCTAATAGAACGTTGAAATCTTTTGTGAAAGATGTATTGCGCTATTACGATGATGGATATTCTTTAGAAAGAAAAAAATATGTTTCAAATTATCTAATCAGTTTATATGTTTCAATATTACACTGTTTTATGATGATAATAATTGAAATTTGTTTATACACTAAAAATTGCATAGCAATAGTGAGCATATTTCCCATCAAAAGTGGATTTTGCGTATTTATGCCAAATGCAACAAATATACGGGCGAATCCCAGGTAAATCCGTGATGCGCTTGCGCGTATACAAACATACATAAATAACGGGACTAAGTGAAAGATATAGAGAATTTTCGCGTCAGAGCCAGAGAGCAAGAGAGATGTTGGTCGAGATGAAAGAAACAAAGCACGCGGGTTGCCTGGATCTCCCTTTCTCTCTCTCTCTCTCTCTCTCTCTCTCTCTCTCTCTCTCTCTCTCTCTCTCTCTCTGTCTCTCTCTCTCTCTCCGACTCTTTCTCCGACGACTGCTAAATGTAAATGCTTGAAATTTGTTTAACTCGACCCGTATGACCTCCATTTATTCACGTACATGCACATTCCGTTCTTATCGTGCAACGCACGGAGTAAAAGAATTAAAGCTACGTAAACATGGATTTACTGACTTTTCTCCCGTATTTTTCTTTTAGATTCTTTGTTGCAACATGTCACCTATTTATTGCAATTATTGTCAATTTACAGTGATCTACATATATTGCAAAAATACGTCGTTTTTGTGATTCCAACGTAACTGCTACAATTGATGTCAAGTTTGTGCTCGATGTCTGACTAATTATAGATATTACTACTTGCGCTACTGCTTAAACAAAACATGAGTAGAAATGTATTATCTGAATAATAAGCAACAATGTGTCTGACTGATGATGTGAGTTCCTATTTTTTAGTACTGAAAGGCTTTAGTATAAAAGAAAAAACGAAGGCCGACGGTATGAAATAAAAAAATAAATTTTAATTTAAATTCAGTCAGACATACTTGTCAACAGCCTTTTCCTTTCAAAACATGATCTATTATGATTCGCATCGATTGTTCGATAAAGTAAAGCGAATAGTCAGGCAGTATCCGTAAACAGAAATGTCCTGGAATATGAAACTAGGAGAAAAGCGAAAATCCATGCCTTTTGTCGCGTACACGCGCGCACTGAAACTGAATTCGCATTGCACCTTGAATAAAAAAAATACGCAATCCAAAGCGGAAAAGCGAATCTATTTCAGCTTGCTAGGCTTCTAGGAGGCTAAGGTATTGAGGAAATATCTCGGGAGGGGATCCGAGGCGGCGCAAGCAGCTTATTTCGACAATGGCACACGCCGTCGCAGCTCGAGCTAATAATATTCTCGTCTCCTTTCTCTCTGTCTACTCTCTTTTTGCTTTCGTCAAGAGAGACCGAGAGAGCAAAAGCATTGTGCGGACGACCTCACAGTGGGTACGGTCTACGTGCCTTGGTCGTACGTGAGCAGTTGACGGCCAGCTGTGCCGACGAAAGACGACAGCCCTCGGCAGAGGACCTTAGCTACAATACAATGAAATATTAACGGCCACAACGACACCAATGGCATTCGGTTATATCTCTTGTGTTATTCTTTCATCTTCTAATGTAATTGTTTTTATACAATCGCTCACTGGCGGATACGACACTGCAGAAAATGTACTATCTGATTTGTATTTATGAAAATCAGAATGAATGGATTACAACTACAGCATTTCAATGGCATTACAAGTATTTAATCGCATGCGTACGCCGATCGAGCCAATAAATCGCATCAGACTTTCCAATCCAATATACATACCAATTACAAGAGCGCCCCGAAGCGACTTTATGTCCTAATTGCGATGACAGACTCTCGCGCAAAATGGCTTTGCCAGTTAGAAAACAAGATTGTTTCCTCATTCCCTCTCACTACCACTAAAGTACTAAACCAAATTGCAGCCCGCGAAATGGCCGCTGGATTAGCGCGTAAAGTAGATTTGTAAAAAAAAGAGAAAGAACGAGAGAGTCGAGCGAGACGACAAAGGGGCGTATAGTGGAAAAAGGGGTAATATAGAGAAAAAATGGCGAGGGGAGTCGTGTCCGCGTGGCTCGCCGAATGAATAGAAAAAGACGCGTGCGCGCGCGCGCGGAAGCAAAAGAGTACGCGCAATCTTTTGATATTTCAGCGGAGCAGACGAGTGGCGTGCCCTAATGAAATCATCTCTAACGCTTTGATCTTTACTCCCCCGCGGGCTCTTTTGCGCGCCACACTCGCGCACTGTAAAGATTTCACAGACTATAGACTCGCTCTCTCTCTCTCTCTCGCTCTCACTCTCTCGTACGTCTCTCCCTCCTCTTCTCGTTTTTTCTTTATTTCGACATACTCTACTCGTTTTCTTCGGCTGCCGAGAGCGAGAAGCAATTTTATAATTATGCCTGTCGCGTTAGCCTTCCTCTCAACTTATCGACGAGCTCAAACAATGAGAAGAGCAAAACCTATTAACTGCCCAATATGTTATTGCCTATTCACCTAAGTTAGCCTGTCTTAACTTTTATGTTCGATAATCTTAACCGAAAAGTTAAAAAATCTTGAACAAGTCCTCACTCATCAAAGACACAGTGGCTATAATTGTTATTGCTTCAATCAGTAATAATTTTGTAACTCATCTTACTTATTTTCTTCCCAGCGATTCAAACTAACGGATACATTTTGAAAATTAAAAAATTGAACGAACCATGAAAGTGTACCAGCGCAACGAAGAAATAATTGAAACGCAACGCAAAATTCTCATTTGATAAATAAACTTGTCTCCGAATAAAGTCTCACTGTATTTATGAAAAATTACGCATAACAATGAAAATCAAGACGTGGCAAGGGGAAGAGAGAGAGAGTGAGTGAGAAGAGCACAAGTTGCTCGGTGTGCCTCGCTGCGTCGCCTGTATCGAGCAACCGGGACTAACAGCCTTTAATTAATAAAGTTAGTTGAGCTACTTTCAAAGTCTTGCGTCTCTCGGCTCAACTTCTTCTCCGCGCGTCGCGCCCTGGATACGGTAACGTTTTCCTATACCGGAGAATTAAAGTACACCTCATCTTGGGTACGCCGTCTACTCTCTCTTGTTACTTTTCTTGTATAAAGCTTGCTAATTTTCGTACTTTCGGAAAAACATTCGATGTTATGTGATCTAGTTATCGTTATTCAATCAATTGACATTATTACGCATATGCATCTTTCGCGTTTCACCCCGTTTCACCCCAATCTATATATCTAATAAAAATTGTTCAATATTCACCCTCTGTGAAACATATATGCAATCGAAATAATTCATGTTAATTTTAAATATGAAATAACAACGAAAAGTCATCTTCATATTTCACTTCAAGGAAGCCAAGCAATCAGTCAGCCAGCCTTTCTTACCGTACGCTGTTAGCCAACTGTTCCGCAGTTTTCTCGCTCGCACACCCGATAATTGATAACTTCTCGCGCTTCTCAAGCAAGAGGGCGTCGATATATCTTGGTCCATGAACAAGGTGCGCGGCGACAAATTAAGCCACTGCCGAAGACGCGAGTACGTGTATATTTTTTCGCTTGTTATGACTCACTAGAGGAAATCAACTTGAATCCAAGCCAAAATAATAAGAGTGTGCATCACTTAAGCGCACGAGGTGACAAACTTTCTACTTTTTGCAGGGAGATGCAAACTATTAGTCTTATAAAAACGAAAGAATGTCGATGCTTTTAAACTATTACCTGTATAACATGAGAATTTGATACTTAAAGTTAAGTCCACTTGAAATTGCCGATGCTCTAATGATGTCATTATAATATTTGATATTTTTATATATTTATTGGGATTCTGTGCAAATATTAAAAACTTGAGTTCAGCTACATATAGCTCGGTCGAACTGATTCGAACCGAGAAGAACTTGAACTTGCCTCATTCTCGCTCTATAACTAAATTTCTCCATTGCAGTTCAATGGTGTTTCATTGTCATTACAAACTAATATTATTTGCTTATCAATAAAGCAATCAAGATCAGTCTAGCATATTTTGATTTCTACAACTGTTACACTACATAATGAATTTTATGAAATATAAAAATCATACACATTCAGATTTTAATAATCAGCTATTTTTATTTTAATCACGCAGTATTTTCACACATTTGCTGATCTGAAGCGTGGACAAATAAACCCCAGAAAAATTTATTAAAAATTATAAGAATACTGTGGAAATATGAAATACTCTACCATGACATACCATCTTAACTGTAGCTGATGCTGTAACTTTGTTCTGGGAAGTTTTCTTATATAAGTTACAGGAGGCATACGCATATTGCAAATTTGAAAAGCAAATCTGAAAATGCTCTTACTGACCTTATTTGGTGTTGTAGCCTGCTGCTGCGGCGAACAGCTGCTACTATGAATGGTAGGTTGATTGGAGGTCGGTGGCTGCACGATGCCCTGATGATTCAGGTGATTCAACTGAGTGAGCTGAGGAGGTGGTGGTGGTTGTTGCTGCACGATTTGCGTTTGAGCGCCGGCTGGTGGCGGCTGCAGTTGCTGATGGTGGCTCTGGTGAGCTTGCGCCGGGTGGCTTGTTTGTTGCTGGTGCGTTGCGGGGAACGAGGGCACCGTGAACGGAACAAACAGCATCGGGCCGCCGAGGATGTGCGCACCACCTCCACCCACTGCGCCCGTCTCCTCCCTACACCTGAAATCAACAAATTTTACATCGTTGATCAGTGTTCATACCGATATTGAAAAATCCATCTCGCTATTTACTTTACATGTAAATGTTCGAGTGAGGTATTAAATTGTTAAAGCTACGTTGAGTAGCGAACATTTTGACAGCGTGTTCAACGAAATAGAAACTATTTGACGTATTTCTCTGACATATTTTAGTCTTAAAATTTAGATTTAGATATCTGAAGAAATGTTGTTTTGCATACATTTTACACGGTGAAACCTACAGAGTGTACGATAACATTGAAAAATTTGTCTCTATTTGTCAAGAGAAGTTGACCTTGAAAATTAAGCTAGAATAAAAGCAATTTGCAATAACCTGCACTCCGTTCCCAGTCCTTGATGCTGGGAGTGGGCGTAGGGGGCGGCTCGGACGGAGGTGGTGGACGCCACCCTCGCAACCCGTAGTGAAATGCCGCCCCGTTGGCTGGTAAGTTGAACCGCGGTAGCCGGCTGCTGATGCTGCTGCTGGTGATGGCAGCAACAGGCACGACAACCGCTATTTACTGGTACGCTACTTAGTTGAGCTGGTGGTGGTGGTGGCGGTTGATGATGATGATGGTGATGTACGCCGTGTATGAGCGGCGCACTGGGAGCTAATTTAGGGGCCCTAGGCCCCGTGGAACAACTGGAGCCCGGATAAACCCCGAGCAAACAGCCAACGACTGTGGAAGTAGCTCCGGGGCCCTGTTGAATCGAACCGCTAGCACTTAGTGTTGGTACTGCCGGTGGTTGTGCCGGTAGTGGTGCACCAGCCACTCCAACGACTTCGTTTTTGCTGCGATGACACAAGCTACACCACGAAGCTTGTTGGTGTTGTTGCGTCCAGCCGGTAACGTTAGTATTGTTACTGCTCACAGTGCTCTCTTGGTAACGATGATGGTGATGGTGATCCGGTGGATGCGATAAGAGCGTGGGATGAGCGTTGAGGGTTCGAGCGTCGATGATAATTGGGCCCCGGACCACTGTTCGGGTCTGGGCTGCCTCCTTCAGATCGTCACTGATCGTACGTGCGGTCGAGATCTTGCCGCCTTTTTTACAGCTGACAAGCCGGCACAATGTCGTTAGCGTCGTTGTTGCAATTTTTTTTTGCTTTGACTTTTCACCTTCGAAAACACACCGCTGAATAAACACTCTCTACTTGTTGACTGTCTCTCGTTGTGCTACTCCTTGCGACAAGTTACAGTTCGAACGAGAGGATCTCTTAAAAACTCCTCGAAGACACTTGAGCTTCCAACGAGACCGTTAAGGAGAGATGTGTATGTGTGTGTATGTGTGTGTGTGTATGTATAGATAGACAGATAAATAGACAGATCGCGACCACAAGAGTGCGAGAGAGATAGAGGGAAAGAGAGAGAGAGAGAGAGAGAGAGAGAGAGATGGATTCAAAGTGAATGCCAGAATTGCAGAACAGTCGAGTAGATCGGTCCCTCTAGTTTATTCAATGGATATCAATACTTTGCCGGTATACACACTCCACGTGGTTGACTTGACCAAGCTGAGACGAAAGACTTGCTCGCGAATATGTTTGTTTCGATTTGATTTGCAGATTGACACTTGGTTCTAAACGTCACACTGGGATTTGATTCACAGAATAGATTAAGCACACTTTCCCGATGAGGTTTTACGATGCAAACACATAAGTTCGTTTTAGGAAATTTTTACGTTATCGAATCTTTCGATCACACAATGAATCGCCGGTTTCACAGCCGACTGACAAGAATAACAAGCACTTTTTACGTAAATTCCATGAACGATGCACAAGCACTCACTCACACTCTCTTAATGAATCTCCCTTCTTAGTTCTCTCTAACTTGCATCACGTAGAAATACTGTTAACCTTCTTACACTGTCGACGAGCGCTGCAGGTAATCATAGTTAGCTACTGCAAGAAAAGATTATATGAATTTCGGAGTGGAAGAAAACCAAAAAATAATGTAGCCCTATGCAACCAGCCACTCGAGTGCGAAAAGATTATGTTTACCACAAGGTGCTATAAGAACCATCATCCATCGTAAGACGAATGATAGTTGCCGATATCCGGTATCGCGAACTATCGCATCCCTTATGATTTAAGAGTCGATATATGTATATTCACAGAGGATGAGAGGTTGGAAGCAAAAAGGGCACGCGCGCTTGGCAAAAGTTAACCCGTGATGTCGGAAGGTCGCTCGGCGACTGACTAGTACTTCCGCTCTCTCGGCTGTTGTGCGTTTCGCGTTGCGCGCAGGAGGGGATGGATGGCTGCTGCTTCTGCTTCTGCCTGTTGGCTTGTTGTGTGTAGGGGTCGACGGGGGCGCGCGCACACGCAACTACAGCCGGCGAAGCAGCAACGAGAGAGCGAGACAGAGATAGAGAGGAGTAGCTTGCCATGCTGCTACCGGTCTTTCTTCACGTGGCTATTCCAGTCGGCATGTGACTTCTAAACTTGTTGGAGTTACAGTGCCCTTTTTTTATAGCATACCACTGACTTTTCAATTCAATTACTCCAGTGATTTGTATTTCGTTCAAGTTCGACTTTTCCACTGCTAACCAACTGTTTTACTGTTGTCAAACTAGAACAGTAGATAGTTGCTTTGCTTCTGTTTCTATTGCGTTTGGCAAATTTAGTTTTGTTCATCGGTTTGGACTATCAATATTCTTTCAGAAAAATTTCGATATTAATTAGAAAACTATATTCTACATATATTATGGCAGATCATGGAATATAACTTTCTGTTAACTACACTTTTGCCTTGTTTTTTTTCACGAAATTGACTCTAGAAGTATTATGAATTTCGAATGAATTATGTGTGCTAACAATAATAGCTTTTTTAAATTCAGTATCTTAAAAAATGACATTGAACGCGGACTTCTTTAAGATAGTACCTAACCTCCAAAATTATTCTAACATGACATATCACTACGATTTCTAATAATTAAACAAAAATTCATGATCCTCGATAATATAAACTCCGATATAGTTTGCAAGATTCATTCGTTTTATTTAATATAATCGAATCATGTTAGTTTGTATAATGCTATATCAACATTAATTACGTGTTATAATAATGAAAATAGGGATGCAACTATAAGCTTTTATGACAAAAGTAAAACACTAGTACAGTACCCGATATACATAAGGGAGCACGAACAAAAAGAAAAGAAAGTACCAGTCAATTCATACAGAGAAAAGTACCAAGTAAGAAAGCTAGAGAGAGAGAGAGAGAAGCAGATGCACTGAGAGAAAAAAAGAGAGAGCGCGCGCGCACGCGATTAACTTGTCAATCGAATCAGCCGGCCATTGTCAGAGACGCGTTTGCGGTCGCTGCGGGCGTTGCATCAAACGGTGCCGGTGATCGCCGGCCACACAAGAGAGAGAGTGAGAGAGAGGACATACATCTAGCCAACATACGAACAGCAGCAGTCTCAGTAATCGTGAACTAACTCCACATGAATAACTGGAGTTTTGCTTTGCCTTGGTTGCTTGCTACGCACTCTGTAACTTTTTTCCCGTTCACTTGGTCGCGCGCGACAATATCAAACTCGCGCCGCGCGATTCCGTAGAACGCGTGTATACATAAACACACACGTGGCTGTTTACCCGATAGAAAGGAGAAAGAGATAGAGACTGAGTGAGTGAGAGAAAAAGAGACGGGAAAATAGAGAGGAGGTGGGAAGAGGATAGAGGTTGCCAAGGCTATGCTGGTGCCTAGTGCGTGCAACGGACTAGAGCTTGCGCGCGCTCTTTCTCACTCGTGAAGTCCTTCCGTTAGAAACAGACCTTTCTCTCTTGCTCTCGTTCTCTCGCTCTCGCCTACGCTCACTCTCTATATGTATCGCTATGTATCGCTCTCGCGCCGGCGCCAACGGTGGGGGATACGACTACCGGATAGCGCCCTCCCTACCAAAAAAGGGGCTTTGCTTCGTTCATTCGTTCCCACAAGAGTGAGAGAGATAGGATAAGCGAACGAGGGATTGGAGCGAGTGCGAGTGAAAGGGATGAAAGTGCCAGGAGGAGAATGAGGCAGAAAGGGTGTGAGAGAGAGAGAGAGACAGAGACAGCAAGAGGACTATAACGCTATATAAGATACAGGCAGGCTCTGCGGTTAAGGCTCGACTACGTGAATATTTTTTTCCACTTGCAGAATTAAACTTTCTATTTTCGTGATAGTTCAGAGTGTTTCTATCCACATTGTTGTTTCTTCAAACGAAGAATCATTACAAATTTCATCGAAGATTTATATTTTATATTTTTCTCAAATGACATTCGTTGAAAAATATGTTTTTGCATATTAACATTTCATTTGTAAGTAAGCAGAGGATGAACAACATAAATTTTATAATACATTACAATTTTATTGGCTCATTGAATTATCAGTACTTCGTAGTAAATTATAGTATTGTACGTTAATAAACATCTAAAATGACATAAGTTCATGGATTTTGGAGTTGGAAGTAGTATGACGAACCTTAAGTCAGACATTCTACCTGGTTCGACTTCAGCGTGAATGTTTTTCAATATCTTTCCATATGTTACATACTCATGGCAAAATACTTTCAAATATTAGCTTATCTCAAACTGTTCCATCCAATTTTAAATTAAAAATAAATGAAATATACATGATAAAAGTAAAATAGTATAAAATGTTAGCTTTCTTTCTCCCTTTACTTTCAGCTCTTAATATTTTTAACTACACTCTCTTTCTCTCTCTCACACACATGCACACCTTCTCTCTCTCTCTCTCTCTCTCTCTCTCTCTCTCTCTCTCTCTCTCTCTCTCTCTCTCTCTCTCACGAGAGAACGAGCTTATCAAGCTCTATAACTGTACCATGAGAGTACAGAAAGGTCTTGTCGAGAGAAAGGGAGAGGAGAAGGAGAGATGGCGGGTATGCAGCACGTTCTCATGAAAAGATAGGAAGGGATGGCTTAACTGACGACAAGCCAACGAGAGAAAGTCAAGTATCCTCAAGGAAATTTTGGGAAAATCCAGCGCCTGCGCGTCGTTTTATGACGTACATCTACCCTCTCTCTCTCTCTCTCTCTCTCTCTCTCTCTCTCTCTCTCTCTCTCTCTCTCTCTGTCCCTCTCTCTCCCCCTCTTCTTTCTACCCTCTTTGTCTCGCCTAGTACGTAAATTCGCCGCCTTATTATCGAGGCAATTGGTTTGTACGCGCATAGGCTTGGGCGTAATTTTCGCGTGTACTCTACTAGCAAGAGAGAGAGAGAGAGAGAGAGAGAGAGAGAGAGAGAGAGAGGGAGAGAGTACTTGAACTCACGTAAACTTCGGATCACCATATCGATGCAACTTTGATGATCAAATTATCAAGTGCCTAGTTAATGAAGAGTTAATATCATCCCTTTCCGCTCTCCCTGTACCCACCTTTTCAAAGGCCTTTTATTTATCAAACGGGGAATGCATAATGTAACTGGAAAGGGTGACATTGGAATTTCGTACAACGTTCTTTGATGATCGTACCTCGAATTCCGATTGTACAGTGTACGTATGCGTGGTTATATGTGTGAAACATGCACACTCACTAAAGATAATTAAAAATAATTGGATTTTATATCCGAACGTTCTCACAGCGCAAGGCTGTTTGAAATTCCTCTTTTATTAGATAACTTTCTGTTTTGAAATTTGTGGAATTCAAAAAAATTCGTCTCATAATAGGCTTTAATAATGGGAAAAAAATAAAATTTTCTGTTTAATGATATTTTATTGAATTTGTCATATATACAGCTTTGGAAAGGTTTGCGATCGTATCATCTAATATTTGAATCCAGATAAAAAATCTACAGATAATTCAATGCTTCTTAAATACACCACCTTGCACGCAATATAGAATATACAAACAAACGTACGTAAATAAATGAGCAAATGTTTATAGAAGCGAATGAACCACGATGCGTTGCTTTATTTAAGAATGTACGTTATGCGAGGCATGACTGACGGATGCAAAGCGCTAATGCAGGCATGCTCGGCGAGGCGATGCATTCAAACAACGTCGCAATTACCATTTGTAATGGGCGCCTGGACTCTATCCGGCTGTTGAGCCAGGCGTTAGCACTAATGCAAACGCATCAACGTTTATAGAGCCATGGATAGTGAATGCAAAAGACCTGAAATTTATATGATTTCAATGGGAAGAGAAAGCGATGGCACTATAATGCTTTTTGGTTTCGAACCAAAGGCACAAGAAACGAAATGGTTTTTCCGTGGCTTTCGCATTGAGACATTATTTCGTTTGATCGTCAATTTGCATCTATTATCTGGTTATGTATATTTCCTAATTTACTATTATAATCGATATTATCAATACTCTAATTAAAACGAGTGAAATGTATTATTCAATTTTTCAAGTATTCCAATGGATACGTAAAATTTAAGCATCATTTAATTAGAAAATAATTTATCGTTTTACATTGTTGATATCCTACCAACGTTCATATAAAGAAAAACTATGTGTAAATAAATACTTGGGAAATATCAAATTTTATTTCATGACTTTACCCTAGTATATCACAATAATTTTAAAATTATTACAGACATTATTCAAAATGTAAAACAATAAGTGTGCAGCAAGCCTCCTTTCTGGAAGCAAAAAAAATCAATCTACCCTAAGCCTCTTCATATGTATAGTCTCTAAGAGAGAAGAGGGGTCACTACAAACGAAATCACACAGGCATATGGGTAATATAGTTCGATAGTTCGTCTTCTATGTCACTCGCGTTCTCTCGCAAATTTTCGACGGTTCGCCGAGTGACAATAACCGTTGTTTATTACTCTGCGATGCGCGCAAGCGTCGAGAAGTTTATGAATCGGAAAAAAGGAAGTCCCGCCCCATTGTTTTCAGTCATTGAAAAGTCCCGTATTTATTGAGCTTTCTAACTCCCTTTTTTTATGTGCTCGATTCTTCGCATTTGGACGTTTCTTTGCGAGTTGCTCGCTCCCTCTGTTGTGAGTTTTGTTTCAGCGAAGTCGTAAAAAGCCAAGAAATATGAGGCTGGAGCAGAAGCTAGATTC